TCCCCACCACCCCCGCAATCCTCTCCGCACGCCTCCTAAAGCCTTTCCGCACCCTGACGCCTCTCCTGCATTCCTCAGCATCCTCCCCGCATCCCTGCGACCCCTGCGTAGCTTCACCTGCTGTTCGCACTTCCTGCACCACTCTCCCACCTCCTCCTGCATCTCTGGACTCCCTTCTGCATCCCTGCGCTGCTTCCTGCATCCCTGCACCTCGTCCTGCATCTCCAACTTCCTTCTGCAATCCTGTACTCTCCTGCATCCCTGCACTTCCTCCTGCATTCCCGCACCTCTTCCTGAATCCTTGCACTCCCTCCTGCATCCCTGCACCCCTTCCTGCATCCCCGTGCCCCAGCCTTGCATCTGCTCCTCAGCAGCAGAGAGATCTCTCTGGTCCCCTCCTGCCCCTCACTCCCCTCACCGTGAAGAGCCTGTGCCCCCCTGCCCACACCTGGAGCCACCCACCCATGGAAGGAGATTTTCCTCTTTTCAAGGGATGTTCCTCTCTGAGGACACACAGGTCAAGGCCCACAGGTGCAGCTCCCACACCCACAGCTGTCGGGTGTGCCCCCAGAGTGTGCTGGTGGGGGGTAGCCCTGGGGATGGCATTCCCCCACCATGGCTGTGCTGGAGAACAACCTTACCTGAGCCTCCAGTGAGTGGGGAGGACTTTGTAGGAGCCTGGAGGGGGATGGAGGTGAACTGAGCCCTAGCAGAGCCACCCAGGACTGGGGCTGAGAGTGGTTCCCCTGGCATGGGGAGTGAGTAGCAGGGAGCAGCACCCCATCCCAGGGCTGTGCTGGGCACCGCAGGAGCTGGGGTGATGGTGCTGGTATGGGCCATCACAGCTCTCTCCAGAGGCTGTGCCTTGCTGTGGAGAGCAGGGAACCCATGAGGCTGTTTGGCATCACAGGTGCACGTTTCTAACGGGGATTGCAGCCATGGCCACGGTGGGGACACCCAGCGCCCCTCGTCACACCAACCGCCTGATTAACGAGAAGTCCCCGTACCTCCTGCAGCACGCCCACAACCCTGTGGATTGGTAAGAGCTATGGGAGCCTTTCCCTCTCCTCCTCCTCCTCTCCTTGTGTTCGTGGGGCTGAGAGACTCACTGCCATGGAAGCAATGCCAGGCAAAGCCCCCATGGCCTAAGGGTCCACATTCCTGAGCCAGCTGTGCTCCAGCTGTCCTAACTGCACTCACCAGGCAGTAGTTTGAGAGGAGCCTGGGTCCTGGCAACAGGAACACCTGAAGCTTCTCTCTCGTCTTCCCCCCACAGGTTCCCTTGGGGTCAGGAAGCCTTTGAAAAAGCAAAGCAAGAAAACAAGCTGATATTCCTGTCAGGTAACCAAAAACAAGACTTATTTCATGTCCCCATGTGTTGTTCAGTACATGATCAGATAAGCTGGGCTGCATCCCAAGCTGATGTGTGAGTAACCATGTAGGTAGTGATGAACACTAAGCAAGAGAGGTCTATGTGCTGGAACATCTCTCTCCAAAAATTGGCTCATCAAGATTCAGAGTTCTCTTAGGAATAAGAGCTGGAGAGCCCAGGAGGCCTTTCTCCTCCTTCTCTTCCCCAGGGGGGCAGCAGCTGTTGCCCATAGTGGGGTTCCCCATCTGTGAGTGATCTCTCCATCACACATGTTCTTCTCCCTGCAGAGGAACATTCCTCACTCAGTTGAGCTTGTTTTCAGTTGGCTACTCCACCTGCCACTGGTGCCATGTGATGGAGGAGGAGTCCTTCAAGAGCAAGGAGATCGGGGAGATCATGAACAAGCACTTTGTGTGCATCAAAGTAGATCGTGAGGAGCGGCCAGATGTGGACAAAGTGTACATGACCTTCGTGCAGGTGAGGGAAGCACGAGCAGGGAGGCTTTGGCTCCCTCAGGTTGAGGTTCATGGTCATGTTCCTCAGGCAAGAGGAACCAGTATGTGGGGTGGTCTGGATGGGGCCACGCAGGATCATGAGGGTGGAAAGAAGCACACATCTGTCTTCTTGGATGTGCTGGAGGGGTGCAGAGCAGAAGTTGCCTCTTGTGTGACTTTGGTGCACCTGTGATCTGTCTTTCAGGCCACCAGCGGTAGAGGTGGCTGGCCCATGAGCGTCTGGCTGACCCCAGACCTCAAGCCCTTTGCTGGGGGGACATACTTCCCTCCTGAGGATGGAGTTCATCACGTTGGCTTCCGGACTGTGCTACTCCGGATCGCAGAGCAGGTGCCAAAGGGGCTGTGGGGAAATTGGTCTGGGCTTGAAGAGTGACTGAGTTAGGAGATACAGTCATGAGGAGGAGTAGCCCAGAGGACATGTCAGAGATTTGGCTGGGTTAGCGGTGGATTTGAGCTGATCTGGGGAGGGGGATCAAGAATTGGAGATGCAGTTTGGACTGGTGCAAGGCTGGCAACAGAAAGAGAGACAAAACCATGGAAAAACTATCTCCTTTTGCATCTTAGTGGGAGGAGAACAAAGATGCCCTGTTGGAGAGCAGCCAGAGGATCCTGGAAGCATTGAGACACACATCTGAGATCCATACACAAGGCCAGGGATCACCCCCATCATCCAAAGAGGTGATGGACACCTGTTTCCAGCAGCTCTCCAAATCCTATGATGAGGAGTATGGTGGCTTTTCCAAATCCCCCAAGTTCCCCACCCCAGGTCAGTCTGGCCTCTGCTGTTGAGCCCTGCCATGGGGCAGGCAGTGCTGTGGGGGCAGAGCCCACCCCACAGCCTCCCACTTTTTCCCTGTATTTCAGTGAATTTGAATTTCCTGTTCACATACTGGGCCCTGCACCGAACAACTCCAGAGGGTGCCAAGGCACTGCAGATGGCTCTGCATACCCTCAAGATGATGGCCCATGGAGGCATTCATGACCATGTTGGTCAGGTAGGAGGAAGACCTTGGGGGTAAACTTCCCAGGACATGTGGGGTGGAAGTGTGGGGTGGAAATGTGGAGTAGAAACATGTCCATGTGGTCTTTGCAGGGGTTTCACCGCTACTCCACCGACCAGCACTGGCATGTCCCTCACTTTGAGAAGATGCTGTATGACCAGGGGCAGCTGGCAGTTGTGTACAGCAGAGCGTTTCAGGTACACCTGTAGCATCCTTCTGCGGGGGGCAGCACTCATCCTGGCTGGGGAGGGCTGGCTTGGTTCGGGGAGAAGCTTCAGAACTTGTTCTCTGAGATGTTAACCATCCCGTGAGCATGGAGAAATCCCATGCTTCCCTTTATCTACTGGTGTTCATCCAGAAACAGTGCACAAACCCATGATGGTGTACCCCCAGGGTTTGGAATGTAATGGGGAGGGAACAGCCTTTGAGCTGGTCTTTGCTAGTCAGCAAACACATGCTGCTGCCTCTGACCTTGGTGTAACTCCAGGGTTGCTCTCCACTGCCCTTAGAATATCAGTGTCCACTGATAGTGGATTTCTATTGGAGGTCTTACTCTGAATCCATCCTACGTTTAAAATCCCTGGACTTTCAGATGTGACTCCCCTCTTTTGCTGACTCTTTAAATCAGAATCTCTTATTATGTCTTGCTGTGTCTCTTGTCTTCCCCGTGCCCCTTGTACTGATGTGTACCCTGTGCCTCCCACAGATCTCTGGCGATGAATTCTTTGCTGATGTCACTCGAGACATTCTGCTCTATGTCTCACGAGACCTGAGTGACCAGGTGGGTTGTTCCTTGAGCTGGGCCAAAAGGTGGCACTTACCCTCTCCTGGGATGTGGTTCAGGGCTGTTTTTCCCTCCCTCTCTGCCCAGCTGAGCTAAATGTGGGGCACTGCTGTGGCTTGCTGGCTGGACTGCCAGCCCAGCAGTGATGGGAAGCTGACTGAAGGTGCTGTCCTGGTAGCTGAAGGGTCTCTCTGTTCCTCTTTTCCCAGACAGGAGGTTTCTATAGTGCAGAAGATGCAGATTCCTACCCAACCACCACATCTGGAGAGAAGCGAGAAGGAGCTTTCTGTGTGTGGACAGCTGAGGAGATCTCGGCTCTTCTCCCTGACCCTGTCGAGGGGGCCACAGAGGGCATGACTCTGGGAGATGTTTTCATGCACCACTACGGAGTGGAAAAGACTGGAAACGTGGACCCCATGAAGGTGAGGGAGAGCAAAGACTTGCCTGGTACTAAGATCACTGGTGGAGGAACCACACCCCTAGGCATGGAAGAGATGGCAGAACAACCCCAAAGCACATGTGGTCCAACATCTCCTCAGCCTGACGGTGTTCATAGAATGCATCTCTCTCTCCCTTCAGGACCCCCATCAGGAGCTGAAGGGCAAGAATGTCCTCATTGCCCGTAGC